CGGGGCCCGGGTTCTAGGGGCTTCGTCATCGGGGTGGGGTTTCGTCGGCAGGGGGCGGGGCTGTGGACACCCGGCGCGGGTCGGTGGGACCCGGGCCGCGCTCCTGGGTTCGGGGCCCCCTAGTTGAGAGATGCGGGGAGAAGAGTCGGATTTTGTGTCCCCTAGGGGGTCAAGGGCTGGGTCTCCGGGACCCATAAGAGAGGAGGGACTTGGGGCCCCAAATTCCAGGAAGTCTGCCCAGTGGGGCTTTAGTGTGGATTTCTCTGTGGGACGCGGGGAGAGGTGGAGCCGGGACTGGGGAGCCCACAACACCGGAGTTATTTAGTGAGAAGTGGACTGTACCCCCATATTCCGGGCCCGGAATGGGTGGAACTCATGGGATAGGACCTAACTCCTACCTAGACCCTCTACTGGGGAGAAGGCGCGGGCTGGGCACAGACTTCGTTTCCCTACACATAAGGGACTGTCAGCCCTGATTTCGGGGTCCCCCCATTGGAAAGGGCCTAGGGCCCCGGGTCCTGCACTCCAGAGGGGAGAAGGCCGAGGAACTTCATTCCAGGTCTCCCATGGAGGCGAGGGCCGAGCTTCCCATATTCCTGGAAAAGGGGGGGCGGGATTGCAGAATCGTGTGCGCCCCAGTGGCGAGGGGATTAGGGCGCAGGGGAGAAGGTCGAGGGGGCCGGTTTTCCCGTGTTCCCCAGAGAGCAGGGGGGACTGGATCCTTGGAGGTTGAGAAAACCCGAAGGAGCGAGAGGAAAGGGGTGCTCCCTCTGGCAGCTTGGGGTCTCCTGGGTCGGGCAGCCGGTCGGTCGGGGAATCCTGGACACACCTGCCACGGGTCCAACCTCCCGGCAGAGCCAGGGCCCGCCCCCTGCCAGCCGCACACTCCCGCGCCACGTGAGTCCTCTCCTAACCTCCTCCCTGCTCCGCGCACGCGCGGTCACGCGCGAGGGGGCGGGGCTTGGGGAACGTGAGGGAGCCCCGGCGGCTGGCGGGGTGCGGAGGAAGCAGGCGCCCGCACGTGACTCGGCCCTGAACCGGTGTCCTCGGCTGACCCTGCTCGCTCGCTCTTAAAGGCGCAGGCCACCTGCTCCCCCTTGAACCAACCTCCTGGGATCTCGGAGCCCTTTCTGCTTCTCTTCCCTGACGCCTGAGAGCTAATTGTTCTTTGAGAGGCTCTTGAGGTCTTTTCAGTGCCTTGGATTCCATTTTTCCTGGACAGGTCTAGGCATTGGCCGGGGATTCGGGAAGGATTCAGGCTGGCCGATGGGGAAGAGACTAACACGGACTCTGAAGGCCTGAGGTTTTAGCAGCAATAGCCCAGGCTCCAGTATAACTAAGGGCAAGTAAAGTAACGATTGGGCCTCAGTTTCCCTGTTTGTAAAGGTGGAGTTGGTTTGATTATCTCTAAGCCTCCTTATGGCTTAGGGAACCTTCCTGTTTTATATTAGGGTTGATCCCTGGCAAGCTATGGTAGCCTTCCTTGTGGTGGATATGACACCTGCGTAGAGGGTAGCATCTGGGAACCTCCTTCCCCAAATCTCTACACACTCAGGCGATACATTTTATTTCCCAAAGGCCTGACCTCTCGGGACACACCCAGCCCTGTGGACCCAGATACCGTGGAGGTGCTGATGACCTTTGAACCTGACCCTGCTGACTTAGCCCTGTCAAGCATTCCCGGCCACGAGACCTTTGACCCTCGGAGACATCGATTCTCAGAGGAGGAACTTAAGCCCCAGCCCATCATGAAGAAGGCGAGGAAGATCCAGGTGCCAGAGGAGCAGAAGGTGAGCACCGCCGGATGTGGGACACGGGCTCGGCCAGCACAGCCCCCACCGCCAGGGTCCCTCACACTCAGGATTAACTCTCAGGTTCTCCTGCAGCCCAGGGCCAGTCCTCCTTGGCCATGGGATGCAAGGGGGCAAAGTGTTGGGCTTGAGATTTAGGAAGATGGCGTCATTATGGGACACGGACATAGCCAGCCCTGCTGGACCCAGTTGTACAGATCTGGAGCTTCTCCTGTCAGCTGGACCCAGACCTTTCGGTGGGGCAGGCAGGCTGCAGGCTGCTGGGCTCAGTTGCTGAGGACAGCATTTTTCAGCGATGGGTTATCAGCCTGTCTCTTATCAGCCAGCCAGGCGAGGGCTTGTCTCTTGATCTCTGATTTGAGGCATCCTTTTGGTGTGATTGCATCTGCCTAGGATGCAGACTTTGTCAGCCCTCCAGGCCTCATTTCCTGGGTCTGAGCTGCCACATTGGCGAGAGGCCTTGGGTTCTGATTGTCAGCCAAGGACCACATTCCGATTTGGGTGCTCTGGGCAGTGACTCATCTTTCTAGCATTCTGCCTCTTCCAGTTCTGGGGTCTCCCCCAACAGGAGGTGCCTGGGCTTCTCCCACAAGACTTGGCCCTGCCTTCATGTAAGACACCACTGCTCGAAGCAGCTAGGACGGGCCCACAAGCCCCATCTAGAGCAGTGTTTCTCCTGCCCCGGGGCCCTGTTGCTAGGGGCTGCATTTGCCCTAGCAAGCAGGAACTCGGCTTTAATTAAAGGGGGGTCAGGGGGCATGTTTCAGAACTCTGGGTGCTCCTTGGCAGTGAGGAGGGGCCCGCCTTTGCAACCCAATTCTAGGACTGAAGACCCCTGGGCATAGTCTTGTGGGGAGGGCTCAGCATAGCTCCTTCACTAAAGCACAACTGGGACCTGCTGGGTGGGGGAGGGGGGCATGCAACTCCCTGGCTTATTTCTATTCAAGGCCAGTTCAGAGACCAGCTGCAGTCTTTGGGACCACTTAGACTTGACTTTTGTTGGATGAGGAGGGATGAAGTTGCCTTGGCAACCAGGGCCAAAGGGACCAGCTTCCGGGAGGACTTTATCAAATCCCTGCACTGGGGAGGCTGGACTTTCCTTAGCAACCGGGATCTGGAAAGGTGATGTATAGGGCAGTGCTTTTCACCAGGATCTCACACCCTGAAAGCCCTGTTGCTAGGGAACAAGCATCCTTAGCAACCAGGAGCTAACTGTTAGCCCTTTGTCAAGTGAGGAGGGTGGCGTCTGCTTTGCACACTGGGGACTTGAGGCCCAGTTGTTGGGGGTGGGAGGCCTTCTCATGCCCTAGCCTTTGCTAGGGTCCCCCTCTCCTTAGCAACCAGGGCCTGAGATGGGCAGACCTTTGGATACCCGTCTCAGGGGAGACCCCACTGCCGGGCAAGCAGCAGCCGTGAAGTTCCTTTAGGTTCCCTCGGGTCCTTGAAGGAACAAGCAAAGCTGCGCCTCCCTTCTTCTTCCGCTGTGGCCGGGGGCCCCTCTGGACCTCAGTGCTTTTCCACCTCTGCACCCCCAGGACGAGAAGTACTGGAGTCGGCGGTACAAGAATAACGAGGCAGCCAAGCGGTCCCGCGACGCCCGGCGGCTTAAGGAGAACCAGATATCGGTGCGGGCGGCCTTCCTGGAGAAGGAGAACGCCCTGCTGAGGCAGGAGGTGGTGGCCGTGCGCCAGGAGCTGTCCCACTACCGCGCCGTGCTGTCCCGCTACCAGGCCCAGCACGGAGCCCTCTGAGGCCGCGCCCCACCCCGACCCGGCGGAGCTCTCCGCCGCCTCACTCAGACTTGCGCCCTGACACCCCCTCTCCTCCCCATCCTGTGGTCCACGGGCCGGCCAGCTGGGTGCCCCAGGGACGTGATGATGCAGATAAATACATTTATATTTTTAAGAAAAAGCGAGCCTCCCCCCCTCCCTCGCGGGGGCGGGGAGGGTCCTCTGTGTGTGCCTCCGGCACGTCGGGGACCCCACCCTCCCACCGCCTCCGTTAACACTATCCTGAATAAATCTTGATAACCCCAGAGCCAGCTGTCGTGGGGAGGAGGCAGCTCCCTGGCCCCGGGGCCAGGCCAGGGGGTCACACTGGCCGCGGTCTGTGGGTTCGTCTGGGCTCCGGGCCGTGAAAGGCGGGAGCTGCTGCAAGTGCCGACTCTGACCCCTCCCACGGGGCTGCCGGACGGAGGCAGGGGCGAGGGTCTAAGAGGAATGTAGCGACTGCCTTTATTGCATAGACCTTTTCAATTGCTTTGAAGATTGGGGTCTGGAGACGCACAGGAGACAGAAAACGGGAAATGAACTTCCCGCCCGCGCGGACGGGGCGGAACCTTAGTGCAAATGTGAGCGTTGGCCCAGGGGAACCTGCCCCTCCTGGCCGGTTCAATGGAGGCACCGGAGTGGACAGGGCGAGACCGGGCCCTGACGAGCCAGCCCGGACGCGGTACGAGAGGCTCCGCCCCCAGCCGACCCGGTCTTCCAGCAGCTGGAAGCGAGGGTCTGGACCGAGCTGCGCCCTCATTGGCCAGGCACTACCCTCCCGGGCGGGCCCATTTTCCTGCGACCCTAATGGCCCTCACCCCCTGGCATTCGGGCCACCCTCTAGCATCACCACTGGTCCCCGGGAGGCGGGCACAGTCCTGAGACAGGGGCTCCCCTGCACGTGGGGCCTCCGACCTAACTAGCAGCCAGGCCCCGCCCCGAGCGAAGGCCCCGCCCCCTTGGAATGTAGGCCCTGCCCGTAGCAGGCTCCAAGTTTCGGGGTTCAGGGCTCTCGCCCAGGGCGGCCTGGAGGCCCAGTGAGTAGCGTACCGAGGCCCGGATGAACCTGAGCCTGCAGGGGCCCGTACTCCACCTGCTCCCCGTCCACCGTGAGCACCCCGCGAGGAGTGAGCGGCTCGAGGCGAAAGGCACGAGCTGCGGCATAGCCCAGCTGCGGGCAGCCCAGGCTGAAGTGGCTCCCGCGCTCCATGGCCAGGAAAAGGCGCAGCAGCGCAGCTCGCGAGATGCCGCCGCGCACCCAGCACAGGTGCACCAGGCCGTCATCAAAGCGCGCGTTGGGGACGGCCAAGAGGTCAGCCCCCAGGTGGCTGGGGGAGATGGCCAGCATGAGCACAAAGTCCCCCTCCAGCGTCACCCAACCTGGGGGTAGTGGGGTGCCCAGAGGAGGAAGCAGGTGGTCTGGTGGGCCTCCAGTAGAGATGGCTACCGGGTCACCATCCGGGGTGGGAGGCAGTAGCCCAGAGGATGCTGGCATTTCGGGTGCCCCCTCGGTGATGGGTGAGAGTAGAGCTGATCTGGGGGAGCCAGGGGGCGAGGGCAGCAGTGGGTCTGGGGACAGTGGAGGATCCCCAGCCCCGCCCCAGTCCCTGGCCAGCTCGGGGCCTCCACCATTGAGTGACAGGACGGGGAGTGGTTCCGGTGAGTCAGGGGAGGTCAGGGCAGGCTGAGGCAGTGACAGGGGCAGGTCAGACACAGAGCGATGAAGGGGTGAGTGGGCCACGGTTCGAGCTGGGACGGGGGCCAGGGTCAGCTCTGATTTGGCACGGGGCAGGCCATGGGCGGGGGCGGGTGAGGCAGGCTCCACGGTGGCAGGTAGGTAGGAGATGCGTCCACGGTAGGTGTGCAGCGTGGCAAGGCCCAGCACCGTGCCCAGTGTGAAGCGGGCACTGCCCAAGGCCCTGAAGCGCTCACTCTGGATGTCCACGTCTGACACGAAGCCCCAGGCCACAGACAGGAAGGAGAAACAGCGGGAGCCCGAGGCCAGCGTCACAGAGAGGAGGTCCAGCGGGCGGCAGCCACCCCGGCAGAGCAGCAGAGAGCAATTGAGCAGCAGGTCAATGCCCAGGGCCTGCTCAAACCTTCAGAGCCAGAGACGAATTGACAGTGAGAAAGAGTAACAGGGTGGGGGGAGAGACCGAGTGCAGAGCGGGGAGGAGACAGGCAGACAGCAAGGGGGCCCGGCCGGCCCTGTCCCCAGGCCCACCCACAGCATCTGGCCACCTCCAGATGGACTCTTCTTACTGGGCCAGGTTCCCTCTCCATCCATCCCACAAGCACTCACTAAGTGTCACCTGTGTCCCAGGCACAGTTCTAGGCTCTAGGGATCCTGGGAACAAGACCCGCAAACGTGCCAGGCTGATGAACCTGACAGTGCACTGGCAGCGGGAGGGGAAGATGTGCCCGGCCCCAGTTAGCCCTCCTTCAGGGTACCCCCAGGCTCACCGGAGGCAGGGAAAGCCCACCTACCCCCCATGCTGGTTCACGGCTCCTGCCAGTGCGTTGCCGGAGCCACAGGGGAGGATGCCCACGGGCGTCTTCATAGCCTCTTCCCAGTCGGGGCGATCGAGGAGTCCATTCAGCACCTGGAGGGCCGGAAACCAGACACCTGGGTACTGTTCCTGGCCTCCACAGTACCCCCCCCCCCCCCAGGGCTCGGGGCCCGGGCCTCCTGCCCTACCTCATACAGCAGCCCATCTCCCGACACTGTGACGATGCCATCCCACTCGCTCAGGCTCAGTCCCTGGACCAGCTCCCGAGCATGGTTCTGTCGTTCTGATGTGGGAAACCAGGAGGTGAGGCAGGCTCTCTCACCTCCCCTCCAGGAATCGGGAGGTTGGCCCCAAAGCCTCAACTTTCGTCCTGGCACCGCCCTTACCTGTCTGGATGAGGGTGAAGGACAGCCCAGCTTCTGAGAATATGGGCAGCACGTGGTTTTTACACAACTTGCAGGGGCGGGGCTCTTCCCCCTAAAGGGAATGACCAATAGAAGCAAATCGGGTGGCCTTGCAAGAGAATGGGGGTGAGTTTCTTCAGAGAGAGGGAAAGAGGTCGTAGAGGTCAGAGAACTCAGGCCTCTTGATCTTTCGAGGCGGCAACTGCTAGACAGCCCTCAGTGGACGGCTGGAGGGCTGGCACCGGAGTCTCGTTTTTATATGCTCTCCAGGGTTCACGTGTCCGAGCGACCTCTCTTCTAGAGAAAAGACAGGGCTAGGTGTATAATACCAATGCTCTTTTGACCCTCGTGGGGGGAGGAGAGGAGATTCTGTTCTTCTCCAACAACACCCCAGATTCCAGATGACGATTGTTCCATTTGTCAGAGACTCATTGTAGTCACATACCCTTAGGGACGATCTACCAGCGGTCAATGTGACCTTAGAGAGACATATTCTGCTGAAGTGACACCTTGAACCTATCACCTTCCACGGGCCACTGAGGGCGTCCTGGGAGGGGTTGATCAGGCTAGAAGAGCACTCTCTGGAACCTCTCCCGGCAAAGACTATAGCTAGCACTACTATAAGGCGCGTCATGTCGGGGGGATGGTGACATCGTAAAATTTGTCGCTTTCTCCATT